ATTTGTTTAAAGCAAGGTCACGAGCACCCAATCGAAAGTAAATGAGACTGATATTCGAATTACGGAAGATCTCTGAAGTGCCGGCGGTCCAGAAGTATGTGTACCAATATGGAGGTAACTAATTTTGTTCGTCTACTTTACATCAAGTTGTGTAAAAGGAATGAAGCCTATGGGCAGGGGGGAATATTCACTTGGCTAACAAAAACAGTCCCCGAACTCGTAATAAAACTAAACTGAGGAGAAACCTGAATAAAATTATGGCCTAACCCTAACCTGGTACACACTACGGGATTACCATAAAAAAATGAGACTGATATTCGAGTTAAATTACGGGAGCCCACTGAAGTTCCCACTGCTATTGGGATTATAAAGATTCATAGCACAGGATTGCGCATTAGTAATTACAGATTAGGGCGAGACCTGGGCTGCCCATGTCATTGCGATGAGGAAAACAGTTATGAGGCAGTGTATTCCGCATAACTGTTCTAAGGACATGAAAACGGGTACCCCGTAGTGTGTGTACAGGTTAGGGTTGGTTTTCCTTATTATTCGATTCGATTCGAGTTCGGGGACTGTCTGTGTTAGCCAAGAGTATATATATACCCCCACTGCCCATAGGTTTCAGTCCCTTTACCCAACTTGATGTAAAGTAGACGAACAAAGTTAGTTACCTCGATATTGGTGCATGCATTTCTGGAGCGCCTATAACGGCTATATCAAGGTACAATATAAAACTAATGCTAATGCTAATTACTCCGATAGTGCATTAATAAGTTAATTCATTCATAAAGGAATACTTTAAATATTATTGATTTTGAATATCTAAAATAGAATTTACAACTTGGAAGATAATGTTACATAAAAAATAGGACCTCCTGAAGTATGCGCACCAAGATGGCGCACAACCTGAACTCCGGATGTGTACCAGCTTAGGGTTCAGGTTGTGCGACATCTTGGTGCGCATACTTCAGGAGTACCAAAAAATATAAATATCCGATTAATAATTATCGTTAGTCAGGGTTATAGTAAAATAATAATATTTAAATTCCGGAAATATTGCCATAAAACTATTCCTGGTGATATATAATTTCGAAGCGAGGTTGTTGTTCATATCGACCAAAATAATATCCATTCACGTTAATATTATTTAAGAAAACATATGACTATGAAATTTACGAGAAGTACATTATCAGCCGTAGCACGTGTTGATATGAATCATCTCGACTTCAGGAAAAACACCGCGTGTACAATATTAGTAGCTAATCTTCACAAAGACCTCAATTATGGGCGTTACGCATACATAAGTAATGACTCCACATGGTCTAATAATGAGCAACTGCACGATAGCGATGACCCACTCAATGCTTGGATATGACCGATTTGGTTAAAAATTAATCAATGTTTACAACAGTTTATGTCAAGCTCGTCGTTGTGCACAATTGGCGCAAGGATTTAAAAAATCGCGGTATTCATCCGCGATATCGGCGAGTGCGTCAAGTCTTATCTGATGATGTACTATGCTCATGGTACTCCCGTAGCATGTGTACCAGGTTAGGCCATAATTTCAATCCGATTTTCCTTATTTTAGTTCGATTACGAGTTCGGGGACTGTGTTGGCCAAGTGAATATACCCCCTGCCCATAGGCTTCAGTCTCTTTACACAACCTAATGTAATATAGGTGAACAAAATTAGTTACCTCCATATTGGTACATTGTTGTTGGGCTAGAAACAGACTTACTCTAACCATACCCAAGCCCTTTATGGCTATATTCGTACAATATTATACCATTGGATAACGGAAGAAAGAATTTTTAAATATCACACACAAACCACAAGCATTCTGCGGTACGATATCCCAACTAAGGATGCCAAGTATGAGTACTTACAAGTATTCGATTCTTATCCGATTCCTAAATTTTCGATTCCGATTCTCGATTCCGAATCTCGATTCCTCGACATATTACCGAAAAAATATACCCACCCAAGCAATACCATATGAAATCAAGCAAGACAGCGATGTTCAAATTCTGGACGGACAAGAAGGCCGAAACTAAGTAGTATGGGTATCCAATCTGCCACATGAGACAAAACCGCACAAAAAAAACGAATCCCTCAGAACCCACAGAGAATTTTAAAATAAATAAACGTTAAAGCCTACTAGCGATATTTATAATATATATATTATATATAGTGAAGTTTGCGGTGTCGTAGCAACTCAACATAGCAGTGAAGCAGTTTATACATATATATATGTGAAGGAATTGCCACAAAACGTTACACATTGTTTGCAATCCAAGTTTCAAACTCGAAAATCGATTCCGGTGCATCGGAATCGATTCTAGTCGATTCCGCGAAGAATCGATTCTGTAATCGAATCCGGACTCGATTCCGCCATCCCTAATCCCAACTGAGCTATGTACTTCAAATAGCTATTTTCACTCTTGCTTTGCTACAGCATCCTTGCATAATATGTACGCTACACAGATAGAAGGACATGTAATTGGTTCAGCAGAAATACAATCAACAGCAAGAACTAATAATTATGTAAGTTGACCCTGCCCAAACTTCGAATTTCCCAGTAAATATTAAAACTCAACTATATAAGATGCGGTCGCTTAGAAATGGGAGAACGAATGCTAAAATATTTCACGTTTACATACATTAGGCAGGTAAATTTACCATGTCCATTATCTGACACAAATTCCTCTCACAACTTGGCATTAACACTTATTACATGCATTGGTGCATATATCTGTAACATGCTTTGAGCACTTTCGCTTTGAGGTAAACTATATGTAATGAATATGATAAAGTTCCATTACAAATACTATATTTTTACGCAAACTGTATCTATAGTCAACAAGAATGGGTTACGAATGAAATATAAACTACGCAGGCAAAATAGATTTATCTTTGAGTACGTTAACTGAATCTAAAAATGTAAACGTAATTTCTCAGAAATCTTCATATTTGAAAAACGAGATGACTAGGATTGTTCGTGCTGCATAATCAAATGAACTCATTGCACGGTTATGGTACGAGTCTTAATTCTATGTAATCAAGCAATGGATAAGTATAAGAAACAAAAATGTACAACACAGTATAGATAGGACACCCGAGTTTCTATTGTGCTGTTTGTGGAATCGTCAAATAGTCATCGGCGGAGCGGGATATTCCTCGGAAGGATGTCATTGTCCAATGTTCGTCTGCTTGCGGGTATACGATTTAAATTGTGTGGTCGGCAATCTTTTCACAACGCTTATATTATAAACCAAGCCGTCTTGGAAACGGCGGTAAAGAAACTTACAAATACAGAAATGCATTTGTTAGTGTGCAGCAAGAATCTTGAAATAAAAAAAAATATCCAACAATCAACTTTATCTTTGCATTATACGCATCCACTTGCATAGAACAAGGAAAGGTGGTTCGTTCGTCTCGCGCGACACCAAATGATAGTTACCGAAATCAAGTTATGAAAATTATTAGAGTTTTTACAAGCGGAAAGACCAAGATATCGCCAGAATGCAAAAAAACAATACATAACAAATGGAGAGAGAGATCAAAACATCACGTAAATGCAAAAAGAAAACAACTTATAAGAAGCTAAAAGTTCCTTGGGTAAATTATTAAGTTTGTGGATATACGAGATCGAATGCGTTCTTGAAGCTAGTCCGTTTTGTGGGCAACAACAATCAATATCGACAACCAACCGCCAACACTGCAGCATCGTATACAACAGGAAAAGAATTTAGGTCAACCGGACTTCGATTGTTGATGACTATGACGTTACAATGTTGCGTTTTAACTTCTTGAAGCCCGCGATTTCGCTATCCTTGTTTTGTAGATTAAAAAGCCCAAATACTGATAACTCCGCCTAAAATGCTGTTTCAACAAACATAAAGTTTCATAATATAAATATTATTTTACATATTATTTACTAGAAAAAGTGGCACGATTATCGAGTTAGTATACCTGCCTCGCTAACTATTATAATCAATTAAATGAACACGCAAACGCAGAATAATTAAACTTGCACCATTGAAATGAACTGTATTCCACTTTAGCAGCCTTGTACAATTATAAATAACAAAGATACGTGTTACACAACTACTAATAAGTTAAAAATAAATAAAAGGTTGTAATAAAAACATGTCTTCGGTTTGCACTAATAAGATATAACGCGATAGATCGGCTTTGTTACTTAAGTGTCGCTTTCGCCAGCATTATCGCACTGTGATTATTTCAGAAATATCGCTTCATTCAAAGCCTTTACCTTCCGTAAGTACTATCTTATGAACGTTATACCTATCTACTTATACGGCACTCATCGTTTTATTTGTAGAAATAGGATGGCGATTACAATACTAAACTCATTTTAAGTCTATTATGACCAGGTCAAGTTTTACATTTCGAGGAATAATATTGCAACCAACGGTAAAATAAGTAAGCTGACCTGAAAATTGTGCATTGTGTATAAACCATTAAAACAAATGTATATTTTTGTTGTAATTAGGGTCAAATAAACGCTAGCACAACGGGTCACGGAAGTCTATTTAAAGCCGTATTGTGGGATACGTGTCCCAACAATATCAAACAATATGCCAACTTTTACGTACTTCTATATTTAGAATATATATATAAACGCCCGGAAAACCGCAGTTAGACGAGGATAATTATGAATACCTAACTATAAATATATGAAAGGTATAAACTTGTAGATATAACGCTGACTCTGGAGAACAAACACAACTTATCAAAATCGCTAACGGCAAGTAAACGTGCTTGTTTTATAACTTTGTTCTGAAAGCTTCTAGCAGATATCGCAAAAGCAAATAAACTCGATAAAAAAGACGGCATCAAAATCAAATCTTAATTCGCCAATTATACGATAGTAAATTGACTGGAAAACATAACTATTCATACGATTTTTACGATAAATCAACGAATTCATTGTCATTTGCATATTGAATTAGAACGAAGAAAAATTAAATCGACTCACCAAGTAACAGTCTGAAACCTTTAATGTTGCAAGAGACGTGTGGAATATTCACGAAATCATAGTTAGGCGTAGCAGAATAACACAAAATTACAATTTTTATTCTATTCTATGCTAACAATAGGAAAAAATATAAATTTAATGAACGATTGCTGATAAATGCCATTAAAATTTAACTCAAAAATTTATCAATTTAAAATTCAGAGACTTGACAGCTCTTCGACCAGGAGGAGAACGCTTGACTGTTGCCAGGGAATATGGCCGTCCAGCGTCCTAACGCCAATAAGGAATGAATAGAACAAGTGAGGGCTGGTATTCAGCGACGTATATCTATATCAGTACATTACCATATTGGTCTAGATCAGGGGTTGCAACTTTTTTTGTCGGTGGACCATATAACACACTTCAGACATCTAATTGGGCCACGCAAAAATTTAGTTTTTTCATCTACACAGCGAGTTACAGTGATAAATGCAGCGGGCCAAATGAGAGCAAAACATTATATATTTTTACCCATGTGAGTGCCTTTTTAAACATTTTATGTTGATGGGGAAAATTCTGACGAGGACCACACTCAATGTCTTGGCGGGGAGGGTTGTGGCCCGCGGGCCGTCTGATGCACACCCCTGGTCTAGATGTTAGATTAGCAACTGCACTGCTAAAATTATAAACAAATTTGGTGCCGAACACAAAAAAAATCAAAGATGTATATTCTGGTCGTTTCAGTTCTCTTCACTTTTGTAAACAAAATTATTTACACTCAGTTTTCGGTACAAAAACAATAAGATATAGTAAGATAAACTTCACTGAACTGCTAAGCTTTCAATGCTGACCAATAAATCACGCTGACCTATGCTATACACCAGGTTGACACTGCCTTTCAGCTTCAATGGCACTGACCTCACGTGTCGTTAATTTAGTATGAAAAACAATGAAAGGAGAGTATCGATACGTTAACACGTTCTTTCTTTCGTTAACCGACTCATACCGTGAATTCTTTGAGCATGACTTTACTCGACAACGCGTTGGTAGATCAAGGTAGAAATTTGGAATTACTTTAAAAATATGCTGATTATGCTAAATTCTCAAAATCGACAAATTCAAAACTCTTATTGAAAAATGAATCGAACATTGTAATTTAAATCTGATTTGTTTACTATAGGAAAGGTCACAGGTCACATGAACTCCCGAATAAAATGAATGCCCCCTCTGTCGTGCTAGATACCTCGCATAATACGACTAATCAAGCGATCATATCAAAAAGTTCAAGAAAATCAAATTCAAAATCGCCAGTTACTTTAATTACTTCAAATTGCAATCAACTTCCTAGTAGGTATACACAGAATAGAAATGGGCAACAGGCAAAATTTGTTAACCGAATTTTTTTAAATTTATTTTGCAAATATTCAGTTCAGTACCGGTAACATTCAAAGAACCGCCAATGGGCACTCATCTTCAATTCTACGATATTTTTTTTTTCATAAATCAGTACTTTCCATAACCAATTACGCCTTGAAAACATTACAGTCAACATTCCGAACCGAGTTGTAATTCTGCAGTATTCCATCGATACCAGAACTTAACAAATAAAAATTGAGTACACCATTGGGGCCGGAATTCCGTACAAAAATCGACGCTCTTTTTTCGCATACTTTACACCAAGTTGTGTAAAGGGACTGAAACCTATGGGCAGGGGGATATTCACTTGGCTAACACAGCAGTCCCCGAACTCGTAATAGAACTAGCATAAGGAAAATCGAAATGTAATTATGGCCTAACCCTAACCTGGTACACATACTACGGGAGTCGTCAAAAATCGACAAATCAATCTAAATGCCTACTCGAGCATTTATCACAATGCTCCTCTCACTAAAGTCAAAACATCTAACGTGTAGCATAGCGTTTATATAATTACCTCTTTGTGTCGCAAAACCGAAAATCTGCACTCCGGTGACATCGATACAATAACAAATACAATATGTAACCTTAGATAACGTATCACGATTAAAAAAGTATGAAAATGTGTGGTAATGCATCCGCGGAGGCGTTGTTTCCACTACACACTTCCTGTGTCATGAATTAATGCACGCTCACAAATGATGAATACTATTTGTATGACTGATATAAATGCAATTATGACTTCACAATCTTATTGATAATTTCCAATTAATAATATATATCTCATGAAAGAGTGTTCATTATCGTCATGCCGAAGTCCCGCGCCCTACCTTTAACAATAACGGTAAGGTGTTATTTCAAATAAATATGTTTAATACCTTAATTATCCTAAAGCATGCTGCCGATAGGTGGACGTAGCTTTGAGCGAGTTCAACTGTACTCTTAAGAAATAAAAAACAGCAGTTGCCCTGGTTTTTGTCAGCAGTATTTTTCACCAATGTTATTTCATAAAAAATATTAATCGATATTTCCATATGTTTAATATAAAGGATCTACTAAATTACTATATTAATCCGTCAAAATGCTTGCGATAGCATATCCTCTAAAATTTTCGAATAACAATTTTTTTCAAAAAGTCCACTACAAGCTTACGGTCAGTCATCTCACTCATATGCTGTCATTCATTGCTACAACATCACAGGTCACACATTCGTGTGTGTGCGCGCACTGACCATGTTGACCCACTCGAGATGGAAAACAACTCGCCGTTCTAAACTGGAGCAATGGCCTTACCTTTGCAGAGTCGGTAAAAAAACAAGCAAATGAAATATGCGCGCGAGAATGTACCACGGGATAATCAAACATTGCGGCCAATGAGCGGTTGATATTGTCGAGTGAATGGCAAATAAAACGGCAGGGCAATTAAACATAATGTGTATACAGCGATATCGAACATGAATATTATATCGGATAACGTACAATAGGTTTTTATAGCCACGTGGACGTGGGTGTGTGATCCACCTGAGAACTGACCGTAACAGCACATTGGGTTCCTGTTCCTGACATTCATAAACACTCAGGGGTAAAACAAACGAAAATAAAAATTACTATAACCGAATATCTGATAATCTTTTTTATGTTGACGCTCAATTTTGATTTAAATAAAGACCTAAATCCTTAGAAATGCACCAATTGAGGTAGGATGCTAATTTCTTTTACCGAATATCACTAGGTTATTTTAATTTGATTTGTGTGAAAAATATTACATGGAATACTATACAAATTCACGTCTTTCACCAATATTAATTGATTTTTAATCTACAAATACAACACACAAATACAAAATGTTACGTGGGAATAGAATACTACACAATTCCGTACCATAACCTTTTCATAAATAGGAAAAACATAATCTTTTCCAACGAAATAGCAAGTGTAGTTGTGATCTATTGTTAGATCATAATAAGATATTTTCGCTATCGTTTCGTCATCATCACTTTTCTCTAATAATACCGGAATATGATTTTTAGCTAACTAGTTAACATGAATATACGCAAATATTGCACGAATTGACACCATATTGCTTTTATAAGACAACTATGTTATGACTGTTAGCGGTCAGAACTTCAAAGACCTGAGTAATGGACATGACATCATGCTGAACTACGTGACTGACCACGTCCAGGAATGGCGGACAAGAAGACGTGAGAGAACTAGAATTTAAATTAATATTGTTACAATTTATTTAATTTAATGTAAATGAGACCATTAGTCGTACTCGTATCCATTGTTAGTTGACTACGATGTGAAACAATAAAGCGTTTCGATACAATCAAAGAGGAAAAGGAAATAAGAAATCAGTAAAGGTAATCATGAAATTACTGGTAATTGAAAATAGGTACTCCCGTAGTGTGTGTACCATTAAAATTAAATCCTAATTCGCTAAATACGACGGTAACATTAACGCCAACTTGCGGATTTAAAATGGCAAGCACAATCTTACAACTAAGTAGATTATGTTACAAACACGCGCGAAATATTTGACCTGTAGTTTGTACATTGAGATAATAAAACAACGGAAGCAACCGAGCCTGACACACGAGGCGAAAATGGCAGCGAAATATGTCGGTCAGTGAAAACGGCGCCATTTTGAATTAGATCGCTCGTCGTGAGCTTCGCGGATTTTTTTTTACGGCGCTACAGTATGTAGTATGTGTGTATATGTACCAATATGAAGGTAACTAATTTTGTACGCCTACATTACATCAAGGTGTGTAAAGAGACTGAAACCTATGGGCAGGTGGTATATTCACTTGGCTCACACAGACAGTCCCCGAACTCGTAATAGAACTAAAATAGGGAAAATCGGAATAAAAATATGACCTAACCCTAACCTGGTACACATACTACGGGAGTACCAAATAAAATAACTCTTATATAGAACGTTAGAACACCTACAGTATTCTTATTCCAAGCTACATATGAAATAAAATACATGGATTGAAACATCGTGTGTGGAAGATTTTCCGCGTTGTCTGTTTTCATCAATTGTTACCAACGAATAATAAAACGCTTATACATTTAAATGATTATAAAAAATAAATTCACGTATTCTTAACCCATAATAACTATTAAATGATATACGACAGTAACGACTGCATTGATTACGGAGCAACAAATAGTCCAGCAAAAGTGGAAACTGATGAATAATATAATGCATATGGAATATTCGAATGAATGTTCATTCGATAAAAATTAGGATCTCAATATATAATGAGTTTACTTACACCTTTTGGTATATCATAAGTTTACACCCGACAAAGTGAAAAAATAACGATTGCTACTGATGAATAATATAATGCATATAAAACATTCGAATTTTGAAAACTGAGACCTTAATCTATAGTAAGTTTTATATAAAACACCCAAGCACAGTACACAAAAACTAATTACAATACGGCAAACTCGGTTTAATATGAGGACAAATATAACGCCAGTCAATAGGATACCAATATTCAAATAGAATGCGAACGAAGCTTGTATTCTTGAAATAAGTTAATTTCAAATAATAATAGTGTAAGTCTATTTGTTCACAATATAACTGTGATCTCTTTGCCTGAAACTAACCATAACCCCGAAACAATGAAAATATATTATCGCAAGATTATACGGATTCTACAATAGCATGAAAAAATTATTAAGTCTCGAATTAATCT